AAAAATTCAGCAATTTTTCCATTTGTAAAGGGGGCATAACTCTAGAACGATTAAAGTGACACCACCAAAATTAAAACTTGATCTGTGTTTTGTGGTAATAAGCATTGTGTATAAGTTTCATAACATTTGGTTGAGGCAAACTAAAGTTAAAGAATGGAAACGAAAAATTCAGCAATTTTTCCATTTGTAAAGGGGCATAACTCTAGAACGGTTAAAGTGACACCACCAAAATTCAAACTTGATCTGTGTTTTGTGGTAATTAGCATTGTGTATATGTTTCATAACATTTGGTTGGGGCAAACTAAAGTTACAGAACGGAAACAAAAAATTCAGCAATTTTTCCATTTGTAAAGGGGCATAACTCTAGAACTGTTTAAGTGACGCCACTAAAATTCAAACTTGATCTGTGTCTTGTGGTAATAAGCATTTTGTATAAGTTTCATAACATTTGGTTGAAGTAAACTAAAGTTAGAGAACAGAAACCAACTTTGGGGCGTATGGATGGACGTACGTACAGACGGACAAGGGTAAAACTTAATGCCCCCTCCGCTAGGGGAGAGGGGGGGGGGGGGAGGGGGCATAAAAATAAAAGTGCACACACTGAAATGTCTTGCCTGCTTTATTGACCTTGATTAATTTGATTTTGAAAGTCTTAAAGATAAAGATTTTACTACAATTAAGTGTCAAATAAACTTCACAGTACATGTATCACTGATCCATGTCTTTAAACTTCTATAGTTTTGCCCAAAACATAAACAAATGGTAAAAATTGTCATATAACATGTTTAAGGGCAATAACTCCTATTCCTATTCTATAACATGTTTAAGGGCAATAACTCCTATTCCTTTTCTATAACATATTTAAGGGCAATAACTCCTATTCCTATTCTATAACATGTTTAAGGGCAATAACTCCTATTCCTATTCTATAACATGTTTAAGGGCAATAACTCCTATTCCTATTCTATAACATGTTTAAGGGCAATAACTCCTACTCCTATTCTATATAAGAAGTTGACTGACAGTTTCTGCAATGTTGCACAATTTGTTAATCTTCTCTTGCTGATTTTTTCAGCTACTTACATATCATTTTCTTTATCTACTTTAGTTTTCCCAAAAATTGAAAAAATAGGTAAATGTCATCAATAAAGGACAATAACTCCTGTAAGGAGTCCACTATCAATTTCAACCATTTGATTTATTTGAAGATCTTAATTGTCCTGTTGATCAATTTTGCTAACTTAAGTTTCTCTCTATCTATCATGGATTTCAAGATAATAGGTAAAACCACAAAAAAAAAATGGTAAAAATCATCATATAAGGGCAATAACTCCTGTAAGGAGAAGACAGATGATCTTGGCCATGTTGGCTAATTTTCAGAGCTTGTCTTGCTGATCATTTTAGCCATTTAATGTGTCTCTCTATCTATTATAATTCAAGATAATGGGTAAATATGAAGAAAACAAAATTGTCAATATTAAACTCTTTTAAGGAGTGGTCTGATAATTTTTGACAAAACAACAGAAGGTAGATCTTGACATTCTGAACATGTCTGCCTATGTCAGATTTTCTCTTTCTGAAAGGGTTTTTAAGACAATAGGCAAAACAACCATTTTACAACTATGTTCTATTTTTAGCCATGTCTGCCATGTTTGTTGGCAGGAAGGATCACCAGACACATTTTTCTAAACATGATACCAGATGTCATTGGGTCAAGAGCCTGTGTCACTCATCTGTATCTACTGTGGTTTTTGAAATCATCTAAAATAAGGTTAAAATCATATAGATACCCTAATAATGATTGAGGCCAAATTCGTTAAAAATGTGTAACATGGCCGACATTCTAATATGATTGTGGCTAAGTTTGGTATCACCCCTGTGTCCTATTTTTAGCCATGTTGGTTTGCAGGTGGAATGATGCATCAGACACATTTTCTATAACACCCAATGAAGATCGGTTGAGGCCAAGTTTGGTTCCAATTTGCTTAGTGGTTTCAGAAGAGATTTTGGAAAAGTTAACAGACGACAAAGATGGAAGACGGATAAAGGACTCCAAGTGATGGTAATAGCTCACACTGGCCACTTGTGAGCTAAAAATTTGTTACTATAAAAACATAAAACAGAAACAAACAGAGATCTGCAATCAACATCAAATTCTCCAAATAAATAAAAAAACCTGAAGATATGACACAAGACCAACCACTGACATATGTGGGAGGTTAATATAGTAAAAGTATTTCCTCATCTCTTTAAAACAAATATTATGATTTCCATACAAACTTTCACTAAAATGTTCAGATTCTCAAAGATCTTATATAAATGACTCACAAAAGACACATCAAAGAATCTTTCTGTAATGTCACAATCATAATTACAAGACTAGGGTTAGAATTTAATTACCCATTTTAGCTGTAATCACTTCCTTCTAAAAATCCAACTTTGAAATACACATTATCTCTCTATCTTCTTTGATAGCCATTCTTACTTAATTTTTCCAACATGTTTTACGATCTGTCTAATCAGCCCTAATTTTGATAGAAAGCAGCCATGTCATTACAACACACTGTTAGCATCAAGCAATTGTTTTTATACAGAATTTGTATACACTCAATAGATTATAATTTGTTAAGTTAATCAAATAGGAACTTATATTGTTCTTTGAAACAAATGATTTTAACCCTGGATTTTGACATGTTTGATGGGGTTCATTTTGCTCAATCTAAGGATTTCAGTATAAATGTTTTATTGACTATTGTTTCTTCGACTAATGAACCAGAAAATCTCATAGAAAAAGTGAAATCAAAATCAGATACAATGTACAAGATGGCAGCCAGAGAACTTCCTAATATCTTTTCAGCCTTTTATAGACCTGTAGATGCTTGTTACTTAGGCCAAAAGACATGTGTAAGTTGTTTAAGAGACGAAGTTGAACATTTTATTATCACCAAGGTTTCAGTGCCAGGTGGGTCTCCAATGCCTTTCATTTTGCATGAATCAATATTGAATCAGCATAGTTTGTAGAAAATTTTCCAATCATCGATCCTTTTTAAGTTTGAAAGAAATATTTATACATGTATATAAATTTAAGAAGATGTGGCAGGATTGCCAATGATACAAATATTTCATGCATATTAAGGAAAGAACAAATTAACAATTAATGCAATAGGTATCTAGGTCCTGCAATAGGGGGTTGACCAGGATTAATAGCTAGAAATTTTGATTGCCACTAGAAAATAAAGTAAAATTCACAAGGGACAAACTTGACTTGCAACAGGCCACCTGTGAACACGACAAAAAGTTGTTGCAAGGGTTCTTAACCTGCAAAGAAAAGCAATTTCTCTACACACAAGACATTGAATTGATGTTCATATTCTGACCTGGGGTGGCTGCGAAATTTATACACAATGCATTGTCAAACAGACTCCCCACTTTGGCAAGGGTGTTATACTGCTGGTCATCAGAAGAACAAAAGTGATGATATATCTATATACCCCAGTCATGTCACCAAGTTTGGATACCAGTGACAAAACTTGAAAAGGACACCATCTTTTTCATCTTTTCATTTCTTTCAATATGTATTTTTGGCTCACCTGGCCCAAAAGGGCCAAGTGAGCTTTTCTCATCACTTGGCGTCCGTCGTCGTCCGTTAACTTTTACAAAATCTTCTCCTCTGAAACTGCTGGGCCAAATACAACCATCTTGGCCTAAATCATCCTTAGGGTATCTACTTTAAAAAATGTATCCGATGACCCCAGCCATCAACCAAGATGGCCACCATGGCTAAAAATAGAACATGGGGGTAAAATGCAGATTTTGGCTAATATCTCCGAAACTAAGCATTTAGAGCAAATCTGACATGGGGTAAAATGTTCATCAGGTCAAGATCTTTCTGCCCTGTAATTTTCAGACGCATCAGACAACCTGTTGTTGGGTTGCTGCCCCTGAATTGGTAATTTTAAGGAAATTTTGCAGTTTTTGGTTATTATCTTGAATATTATAATAGATAGAGATAAACTGTAAACAGCAAAATTGTTCAGCAAAGTAAGATCTACAAATAATTCAAACATGACCAAAATTGTCAATTGACTCCATAAGGAGTTATTGCCCTTTAAAGTCAATTTTTCACTTTTTTTTGTAATCTTTTACAAAAATCTTCTCCTCTGAAACTACTGGGCAAAATTAAACCAAACTTGGCTTAAACCATACTTAGGGTATCTAGTTTAAAAAATATATCTGATGACCCTGTCATCTAACCAACATGGCCGCCATGGCTAAAAATAGAACATAGGGGTTTACTACAGAAGTCTAAGGGAAAATTGTAAAAAAAACAATTTCAAATGGTCACAACTTGAAAACTAATTTAAATAATGATAAGGGGTCTTCAGTTACTATTGTAAGACTACAATGGGATGACCTGCTTTTAATTTAACTACTTGGCCAAATTAAACCAAACTTGGCCTCAATCATTATTAGGGTATCTAATACTATTAATTATGATTTCAACCTTATTTTACATGATTTCCAAAACAACAGTCGATACAGGTGAGAGACACAGACTCTTGGGAGCCTCTAGTTACTCCTGCCATGTTTGGTTCAAATTAGCTTGGTTGTGTCAGAGAAGGTGATGAAAATCTAAATTGTCTGACAAGAGACAGACAGACAGATGTGTCCAAGAATGTGGTGAAAATCTAAATTGTCAGACAACAGACAGACAGACTGATGTGTCCAAGAAGGTGGTGAAAATCTAAATTGTCTGACAACAGACAGATAGACAGATGACAGACACAAACTGATGATAAAAGCTCACATTGCCCTATGGACCAGGTGAGCTAAAATATAAAAATAATACTAACATTAACTTTAAATGCACAAATGCAGCTTACTGTCTGTCTTATATATTATGTACAATTGTTAAATGACATTTCTCCAATATTACCTTTGTAATACTAAATTTAACATTTATATGGAATTAAATGCAGGTAATCTTCTTTTACACCTACCTAAAATATTCTTCATCTTGACTGTTATTCTCTTTGGTCTCAAATCCATCTTCTTCTTTTATTGCCAACTGAAGTCGAGGTCTAAAACAGTTAATCAAGTACACTAATAACTCCATTTGAAAGTCAAAAGTCCAAGTTTAAATTTTCGATGTTAAATAGACCTACAAATGTATATGTTCCAATAGAAGTGGCTGCACGTATAAGTCTTATATCTGAATTATATACTTCTGAGCACAAGAGTAATGCTTAAACTGCATGATAAAAAAACATTGTTTATATAATTGTAATTACAATGTCCCATTAACAGATACAGTAATTATCTATTTAAATCTATAATTCTCTGTTTGAACATCTCAATTTTCACCTTGATTCTCCATGCTCGTCAACACATCAATATTAAAGTAATTTACATCCAATCCATTAATATATATTAAAGGTCCATAAAATTTCAAACAAATCTTTTTCACCTCTTCCCAACTATATATATTTTCTGCTAGGAAATATATACAAATTACTAAAATAATTGGTAAATGATAGCAATGTTAAACACAGTCTTTAGAGATGAAACAAGACAATATAAATATTTGTTTTAGAGTGATTAGTATCACATGTTACGCATTTTCACCTTATCTGTAATTCAAACATCAATCTGTACTTGTACAATATAATGTCAGGTGTTCTGGGAATTTGTCTATCTGTTTAAAATAACTCAGGTTTAACCTGATTCTGATAAATATGCAAGAATTGGAATATTTTCTCCCCTTCTTCATGAAATATTCAAATACATATAAGAATTGATAATAAAATGAACTCTGTAGGAGTATATATATTTTCACATGAAATAATATTGTAATCGGAATTATGCAATTTGAAATGTCTGAATACGGGTACTCAATATTAGATTTTTCCACCTTTTTTTTATAAATTATGTGTGTGACATAAATATATATATTCAAAATTAGTCAACAATTAAAGACATGATAATGACAGAAAAAGTTTTAGACTTTTAAAATGATGACCTTTTTATCATATAAATCGTGAAAAAACGAGGGGTATATTGCCCTCTACAAAACTGGATCCACCACTGCAAGCACAATTAGTAATTTGTAAATAACTGAGAGTAATACAGGTGCACAATAGGAAAATTTGACGGAGGGTGCCTAATCAGTCTTAGGTAATAAAGTGCAGCCGTAAAAAAATTGTCAATTTCAAATTCCTCTTTCAGGTGGGTCTCATTGGGATCTAAGAGTGATGTGGGATTGGCCGATTTTTTGTAATTGTGAATCGTGAAAGTCAAATTATTGTGCGTGAAAACGGGATACGAAGTCAGGCGGGACACGTGAAATTACAAGCATTATTATACATTGTTTTATTAAGGATAAGCGGGATCCGGGATCAGACACCCCCAATGAGACCCCCCTTTCAGGTGATTCTGGAATGAAGCTTCACAATTAATAACACTAAAATCTTTGCTTTTTGTCTTATATTTCAGTTCTCAAATGGTCCCTGTTCTCATTTTAAGGCACACTAAAAATATTGAAGCAGACCTGTATCTGTATCTGTTGCATGCATACATGTACTTTATTACAAGTTCAATAGTAAATTATATATCCTATTAACAATATTATCTTGCAAAATTTAAACTTTGACATAATGTTTGAAATGTTCAATTAATGCTATTGAAAATTAAAGAAAAAGTCAAAGGGTCTTTCATACAAATTAGGAAATTTATACTTATTGTCAACACATCTTTTGAACAACTTGAAGATAATATTATAAAGAATGTCATGTGACACAGTAAAACTCAATGACATGGAAGAAGGTTGCATATTTAAGTATACACAGTACATAACTGATATCATATAATCTCAAAATGCTCATATGGTGGTATTTTCTCTGTTTTCTTTGATTGAAATTTAGATACATTTATTGCATGTCATGATTATGTGTACACTGGTTTAATTTGTTTTCAATTAAGAATTGAATGCTTCTTTTTGTAACTTCATTGGGGTGTAAAAGTGTTGACCGAAGTACATTTTGTATGAAGCGCAGAAGCGCTTCATTCTAAAAATGTGCACACGGTCAACGCTTTTACAACCCTATGAAGTTACAAAAAGAAGCATTCAATACTTATAATTACATTTTTTAGCTAGGATCATGAAAACACGATTTTTATCAAGTTTTTATTTAATTTACCTGTGCACTTTATTGTGGGACCTGGTGTCATCATGAATGATAAATTTCATTGTGTAATGAAGTTGATTAAGGAATAACCAGAGATTGCAGTGTAGCCAATCAGAATAACGTATTATAATGAAACATACATCTAATGTAATTATTAATAAAGAGATTCAAAATGACTGCCAGAAAACCAAGTTGTAAATTATGATCTTTAAAGAGATAAGCTGCCAACATTACTATTTTTTTTTTTTGTAAATAATTTAATTAAGTGTCCCAAAAACCTGAAAAGTTGATTTTCACTTAAAAAAATCTACTACATGAACAACCAGAAGTTATCATTTATATTTTATCTTAAACATTCTCAAATTGTTATCAACTTTAAAACATAAAATTAAACTAGCTCCAGTAATTTTTAAACTCAATTTTACATTCTCAGTATTCAAAATATTGTTGTTTTTGTGGAAAAGAGACACACAGTTATCTCAATTAACATTAATCTCATATGCCATATGACTAATATATCTTATGAATTATTAATATAACTTGGCAAAAAGCTAAACTATTTTATATGTTGTACAATTACTGGTTAATTTTTTCTAATTGAAAACATATGCAACATGTGCAATGGTAAAAATATCTAACACTTAATGCTGAAACAGCTGAATAGTATTTATATACTATTATTTAAATCACTGTTTAATTAAATTTTATTTATTGTAGAAAAATCATGCGATACCCATCAAATACATTAAACTAAGTCAGTGAATTTTGTTTGGCAGCGCTTCCAGTTTTCGCAAATTTTGATAGAATGTTGGATGGCAATGTCTCATGCTTGTAATATTATATGAATGAAAGTAAATGTAGGGTTAACAATTATGAGTCAGAAATCTTACATTTAAATAGCAGTTGCACATCTTCAACATGTGTGCAATCTTTCTGTGAAGTGTTAGGGATCTTGGTTTACTCCTTGAGTAAATTTGGAGGTCAGCCAGAGGTCGCAGTTAGGTAGAAGTTCCTTTTTTATTCTAAATCATATACTTTTACCTTGAGTATATGGATAGAATTTCAATTTGTAACAATTCACTACAAAAGGGTGACTAAAACTTAAGATATATACATTAAGGGTTGAAAGCCTTAAACACCTAAAAAAAAAATTGGCCTAAGTTATTCCTGACTTTCTTTGTAATGCCTGGAGCAAATTAACTGTGTAAAAATTACATGGCAACAAAAGACCCCTGGTTATCAAATACCACTATATCAGAAGAAAAAAAAAATTCTTATGAAATAAAAATAGTATAAATTACATTGATTTCTCAGCTGGCTGTCCAAACTGGGCAAAAGGAGACAACTCTAATTCACTAATTCCCTGATTATTTAGTCAGGACTTTTTGTGAAAATATCATTATTCTTATATGTACAGTATTTTGAGTTAAAACACTTGGAATATCATGAACTACTAAATTCTTGAGAAAAAACTGACATCATAGCTACATTACATGAACTACTAAATTCTTGAGAAAAAACTGACATCATAGCTACATTACATGAACTACTAAATTCTTGAGAAAAAACTGACATCATAGCTACATTACATGAACTACTAAATTCTTGAGAAAAAACTGACTTCATAGCTACATTTCATGGAGGTACTGTACATTTATTTTGTAGCTTTATAAACAAATATTTAAGTATTTTGAAAGAAAGCACTTGTCATATCAATTTCAGTCAGTAACTTCGTGAAATTGTTGTTAATAGTCACTTACACTTAGGTCTATGTCTATGAAGTATTACAAATATTTATAAACTGAATGATGGAACAAAATGTACCAACAGCCTTCACAATAAACTTTTGAATCCACAGGCGTGAAGCTCAATTTTACGAAATTTTTTGTTGGATTCTGTTGGCCTGTAGAGAAGATTTTTACAGGCCCAAAAGCAATTTTACAAGCCAGGGCTGGTGGGCCTATGGTTAAGCATGAAGACTGTACCATCATTCAGTTTATAAATATTTAGAATAATTCCACAGTAAATTTAGAGTCTTCAAAATGCTACCTTGTCTAGTTAAAATAAATAAATAAACTTTCTACATGTTTGGAATACATGAACTGTAATTGTTCAATGAATTCGAACTAAAATTATGAAAAAATTTAAACAAAGTGATGCCCCTGCACTCCACTCTGAAGTAACTGTATTGTAACAAAGTACATAGGACTCTCTTTGAGATATTGTTGTGTCTGGGAGACACAAATGATGCCCCCGCAGATGCAAAGTGTTATTTTAATATACACAAAGTTGAGCATGGGAGCACATAGGTCTATGTTTCACTGTATGAGGAGTTATCCAGAAACGCTATGCACCTATTATGCAAGTATATACTCCAAAAATGACAAAGTTCAACTATCTCCCAAAAGAGCAAATATTAATAAAAATCAAAACCCTTATCACATGCACACCTTCAATATTATAATGTACAAACAGCCAGCAAAGTGAAAACTTCCTAGCATTCAAACTGTAGGAGGAGTTATCTGGAAATGCTATGTACCTCTTATGCAAGTAATTATTATACTCCAAAAATGACAAAGCTCTGTAGGAGGAGTTATCTGGAATAACTATATACCCATAATGGGACAGACAGAAAGACGGACAGTAAAAATTGAAAACGTTATAAGTTTCATGCGTCTGGAGCGCTTTTCTGGATTTACCTTCATCAGGAAAGCTCAAAGCCGAATATTTGAAAGTCAAGAATGTATAAGGACCGAAAACGTTGAAGATTTAAAACAAAAAAGGACCTAAAAAAAATGCCAAATCCATCAAGGCCAACTTTGCCTGAGGGAATTGAAACCTTAGTTTCTTTATAATTTCAAAATTTATAAACGGGCAATTTAAGAAAGTTTGTTATA